TGTCAATTCGTCCTCCAGTAGTCTAGGCCTATAGCAGCAAAGCAAGCCAACCCTAATTATAGGATTTATCAAAAAGGAAAGTTTTAAGCCCAGTCTTAAAACTGGACAATGTGTCAGTCTTAGGGACAGAAACTGGAAGTTGGTTCTAAAAGAGCCTGATAACTGAAAGATCTTCCTCCCATTCTGCTTCTGGAAACTCTAGGAATCGCAAGTAAGCTTGCAGTTTGAGAGTGAAGTGCTCTGTTAGCTAACTTAAGTCAAATAATATAACAATATGTATAATTAAGTAAAATAATTAAAATCAGTTTTGGAACGGGTGGAAATTGGTTCAGGGAGTCGTAACAGTTTGAAAAAATCTTACAAAATGTATTGTTTTAGACTTTCACTATGACCATGCACTGGCCACTCTACATCGGCTTTCTGTTAATTTCAAAATCCAGTTTAAAATTTTACTGCTTGTTTTTCAACAAGATATGTTTTCTTTTTAATTGTTTGACACTTTCATAGTCACAGCACCAGAGTCTACAAACTAATGCTCCTGAATCATGATTTAAGCTCAAATAGAGACTTTTTTTATTGACACCATACTTTTTGATATCCTGATGCATGCTCAATAATCCAGGTAGAAAAATCCAAAAAAGTTCAATCTGGTCCTCTGGACATTCAAAAAAACAAAACACAAAGCAAAAAAAAAATGTAGAAACGTTTCGTCTCTCATCCGAAAGACTTCCTCAGTCTGAGGTGCTGTATTCAGCTCAGTCTCTTAAATAGCACCTTCTCAGAGTGGATCAACCAGTTTTGCTGCTGACAACCAAAACCAGCTGCTCACATGGATCATTAGCACACTGATGGCTGTTTACTATTCACAGGGGGTTGAGTGATACTAGCAACATACTAACATACTTTTTGATGATTGAATGAGCTTATCTTTGCAAGAGCAGCCCATGACTATTGAGCATTTTAAATAACCGCCTAAAACTCTTGAAGTTTCTATTGGCTTTAAGGATATAATACTTTTATTGTGCAAACTATTCTGTTTACGTTTGATTTAGTTTTGTTCTTGTCCATATTTATTGCTTATCTAAATGTTGATTTTTATATTGTATAACTACATTCATTCAACCTTTATTTATACAGGTTAGTTTCACTGAGTCACGAATACTCATTTTCAAAAGAGACCTGTTTTAGAGAGACAACATATAAAGTATAGATAACAACAATTCAACAAAAATCAATAAAAATTAAATAAAAGTCGTTATAAAAGCTGTCAAATTAACTTACAGATACTTTGGTAAATTGTAAATGTCCTATAGAGGGAAGCATATTTTTTATATATGTTATTTGTCGTTTTTAATTTATTACATTCAAGAATATAATGGATGGATGGACGAAGGAACAACTTTATCATAAATAAAGTTAAAAATTTCTTTGTTGAAATCAGGTCTCTCTTGTAAATTAGTCCTCGAGGCTCAATGGGGATTTACCTGTATAAATAAAGGTTGATTGATTGATTGAAAAATGACTCCAAAAATTGAAAACAGCGCCACTTATACATTGATTAATTTGTGTGGTCAAACGTGGTATTGCAGCTTTGCGTTCTCGTTTTTAGACATCTACTTTTGAAGTTTCAATAAAATGCCAAAGTACATTAGTTCATTTACAGACGAGTTATTCCAGATATTCGTGATTGCTGTTTAGCACACAGAGCGAAGTTTTTACTGCAGAGAACATCCCGCCCTCCCGGAAGTAGCATCCTCATAAATATAAACGACTTCCGTCTCTCCATTTTCCATCGACGACTGAGAAAGAGAAGCTGCGGCAGAGTCGGTGATAGTCAGGACGGCGAACAGCATCATAAACGGTATAGACCGAGCAGAAACTACATATATTCATCAAACTTGGCTTTGTTTAAAATATAATCCAGTGCGGTGTCTCTATCTCCACTTAGTCGTGTGTTTTTTATTGTTTGATTTATCTTGCTGTTGCCGGAGTGGTCCCGCTAACAGAGTAGGCCTCGGCGAGACGACAGCCATTTTAGTTAAAACGGTTATTAGCTCCGACATTTACTCGACCCGGATTTTCCGTATTGAGCTGAACTGCATTTATTGCGTTTCAGTTTATCTAGTTTAATTGAATCAAGTTAGATTTTTTTAACACTTAAATCTTAACGTATGACGTTTGCATAGAATAGCTTGCTAAATTAGCACGAGCTGCAAACGCGGTGTAAAACTAGGTCAGACGGCTAAAAGCTGCTAATGAACGATATTTGTTCGGTTTGACTTGCACTCTTGTCCGTTTAAATAACGTGTTTAGATGTTGTCTTTGTGTAATAAAATCGTGTAATTGAAACAATATTTTAATAAATGGCTAATCCTTTTTCCGCTCATTGTTGGACCACGTCGCGGTACTCTCACCGCGCATGCGCAATCGAAACCCAAACTAATGTTGAATTTTAGTTCTGCCTTTGAATAGATGAAAACGTTAATTGTTCACGCTTTTACTTATTCTTTTATGTTCTATCAATTGAATACTAGTTGTGACGATATAAGTGCTAACATGTACTGAGTGACAAAGGCAGCACAACTAAACTTCATTTCTAAATTACTGTTTTGGGTCTTTTTGTGCATGAGTGCAGTTGCGCTGTATTTTCGTTTATACCACGTTGGATGGTAATTTACTTTTTGACTGATGCCTCAACCAGTAACAGTTTTTGTGTAAGGCCGAATAATGTTTGCATTTTTAACCAATTTTGTTCCTGTTTATTTCAGATCCAGTCATGCATCGGGAATGCCCCCTTGACTGCAAGGTCTATGTTGGAAATTTAGGAAATAATGGAAACAAAACAGAATTGGAGAGAGCGTTTGGCTATTATGGCCCTCTCCGCAGTGTTTGGGTGGCCAGAAACCCCCCTGGTTTTGCTTTTGTAGAGTTTGAAGATCCCCGGGATGCGACTGACGCTGTGCGTGAGCTCGATGGGAGGTAAGTTACATCTTACAGTATGCCAATTATGAGTTGCAGAGTAGAAATGTGTTATGTAATGACACATGACTGTTTTTTTTTTGTAGGACACTTTGCGGTTGCCGGGTGCGAGTGGAGCTGTCCAACGGTGAGAAACGCAACCGCAACCGTGGTGCTCCCCCCTCGTGGAGCAGGCGTGTTCGAGACCGCGACGACTATAGGCGACGCAGCCCTCCGCCCAGACGAAGGTGACCTTTGATGATGCAAAGCAGCAATGTTTTTTTTTTGTCATTTTTCGCTTCTCTCACTCATCATCATTTTTTCCTGATTACATTGGTGACTGTTGCTCTATCAAAGCTTTGCAGTTACATCTTCATTGGCATTAGTCACTTAGTTCAACCAGCCAAACAGGTATCCAAAACCTTATACTGATTTATGACAAATAGGACATTCACTTTGGCAATGTACGAATGCCTTTCTAGAAGAGCAGCTTAAGTATGTCACACAAGACACAACTTGCTTCAGGCATGAGTGCTTCTTTTGAAGTGTGTTCTGTTGTGTATTTTCTACATTTAGCTTTTGTACAGAGGCAAAATGGGTATGTGAAACAAGTTTAGGCAGTTCCTTATTCTATAGAAATATAACTTGTTTAAAGATTTGGGAGGATGAAAGTGTGTCATTTCCTTTTTGTTTGAGGATGCTTTTATACTTTTTTCTATATTAATAAGAATGAAACCCGTTGCAGAGCCACCACCATGCTTCTTCTCACCACCCTCTGAGTCAGTCAACTAGTCCTCTTTCAGCATCATGTGACTGCTGACCATCGTGCCCCAATCAGCTTGGCTGGTGCTGTCACATGACCCGGGCATGGCCAGTCGTCAGGTTGCACCAACCCATTGGTTCCTCAGCATGCCGTTCTCAGCCTCCTTCTCCGTCAGCCTTTAACCAAACGGCAGCGGCCCACCTCACATTCCCGACCAATCGGCGTATTATGTTCCAAAAGTCTACAACCTACCAGCAGCAGCCTTCAGCTTACCAATTAAAGCAAGAATAAAGCCACAACCAGCCCCCACCTGCCTGCCAACTTATCACCTTGCAGCATCCGGCCAGTCCCATTCAGCCAATTCTACCCACCCGGCCGACAGTCTGCCTCCCTTTCGTCATTTCTAGCTTGTTGAAATCCAAAAATACTAGTAAGTTTTCCTGCTTCATTCAGTACACTGCAGATTACAGTTTTAACACTGAAGAAACAGCTGGTTTGACAAGGTTATTATTCCAGTTATACTTTTGGCATGTTCACCACAAATTTTCTCAAATGGGAAATGGTACATTATCAGAAATCTGAAACTTCGTGTTTCCAGATGTTTTGGTATGACTAATCTTTTCTAATTTGGGGCTCAGAGCAAAACTAAATTAATTCTAATTAAAACCTATTCTAAAATCAGATCTGATTGTGTAGCTGCGGTGAGATTGTACAAATACAGTTTAATAGCCTCAATCTTAATCTGTTTGTTTTTAAGTCCCTCTAGGTTTTACCTTTTCACCACGGGTCAGTCCACAGTGCAGTGTTTGCTTACAGTCAGTTTGCTTACATTTGTTTCGCTTTTTAGGAATCTTCTAAAAAGCCTTGGCAAATACATTCTGGGACACATTAGACCTGATTTGTTCAAAACTAGAGTTGCAAAATAAAATTAAACTAACCTTGTAACCTAATTTAAAGTTGCACATTGTACAGAGGGGATAGGTGAGTGGAGATTCCTGAGCATCTGCCATCTTTGTGCTTTTATTGCTAGTGATCTCTATTTTCTAAAAGTTTTTTTCTCTGGGAGAAAGTGAAACTTATTTTCCCTCTTACTTAAACTGACTTGGGGGGGCTGTGCTGGTAAAAGCCCAGTGTAAGAGAAGTAAAATGTAGGTCTGATCAATGCGTCTGAAATTGTTCTTAACACTTGTATTTTCCTTGTGCAGATCTCCACGCAGGCGGAGCCTGAGCCGCAGCCGAAGCAGGTATGCAGTAAACATTAATTACATAGTTAAAGATGACTAAATATGCCAATCCAAAAGTATAAGTGCAGTACATCAGTCTTGTAATTTGGAAGTAGAACTTTGTGGTGGGGTCAGGAGTTTAGCAGTATATAAACCTATTCATGTAAAATTAACATTTATGTATTGGTCACACAGTTTTTTATTTTTTATTTGATTTATTGTTTAGGTCTTTGTCCAGAGAAAGGAGGAGAGAGAGGTCCCTCTCCCGGGACAGGAACCACAAGCCCTCCAGGTCCTTCTCCCGATCAAGGAGGTACTGTTTAGTTGCATTTGACCCGTGTGAAGAACAGACGCATGACTTATTTGCACTGCATCATCCTTTAACTGCTTCTCACAAGAGAACTGTAGAGTTAATGTTTTTCCCTCTTTTCTTTTCCTGCAGTCGCTCCAGATCTAACGACAGAAGATAAATCGTCTGTCGGGTGTAGAGGGAGCTGAAGATGAACGTTTGTACGTGCTCGTCCGTTTGTAAAGGACTTGAGCGTCACCACGTTTTTTTTTTGTTTTTTTGTTGTTCGTTTTTTTTTTTTTTTTTTTTTAAACAATCATTTTAGTGTCCCTCCCTTTCTATTGTTAGTTGCTGCCAGCTTCATTGACTGGGTATGTTCAGGCGTCGTCACTGGCACCTGATCAGTCTCGACACAACTGTCCCACCCTGCATTCCAGAGTTTAATCTCTCTGAGCTTTGGTTTTCATACGTAGATGTTTGTGTGGGTTGACATTGTGTGAGTACTTCTGTCATTTTCACTGTACATGTAAAAAAAATTTTTTTGTAAAAGATGTGGAAATATGTACATTTCCCCTCCTGTGTGAGCCAACCTATTTTCAACTTGCTGTATTGTTGTACCTGATGCTTATTCATCAAGCAAAAACATGGCATTTATTCAGAAATGTAGTTGCAGAATTCAATTTTTTTGACTTTAGGTTTAACATTGTTCTATTGTTTGATACATTGTGACGTAGTCTCTATTAAAATGCTGGTTTGTCATCTTTTTCAGTTTGTATTTATGTCTCAGTTTTTCGAGTTGATACAATCATTGTTTCAAAATTTTCCACTAGAGGGCAGCATCACACCAATGAGACCAAGTTCTGGTTTGACTGTCATGACTGTTAAGTTTCATCTTGTGAATTGTCTATATAGCACACGGGGTCCCACCAAGACCAGTTTCAGTCATTCAAAGGTAATCCTACACCTTTTAACATTTTTCAGTCAAATCATCAGAACAGTTTCTTTTTTTTGTGCTGAAACGTTTCGCCTTCGATCCGATCAACGTCCAGATGACCTGACTGAAAAATGTTGGATTGTATACCTGGATTATTGAGCATGGACTTTGTTGTTTTAACCAAGACAAGATTGTCGACAAGGAAGAGGGCCGGCAATGGAGGAGGGGGGTGTACCAAAGAGACCATCTTGTCACAAGCAGAACTGGTTTGTTCCACTTTCAAAAAGCGTTCAATACAAAAACAACTGGACTTTATTTGTAACATCCGAGGAGCTTTCTCAATTCAGAGCAGAGAGTGAGAGATACAGGTTATAAGGCTGAGTGAGATAAGACACGGATGAGGAGCGAAACGTCTTCTGTTACAAATAAAGTCCAGTTGTTTTTGTATTGAACGCTTTTTGAATTCATCGTGTACTGGATGACTGAGAATCTTCACCAGCATTTCCCACAGGTTCTCTATGGGGTTCAGGTCAGGAGAGTTGGCAGGCCAATAGAGCACAGTAATACCATGGTCAGTAAACCATTTACCAGTGGTTTTGGCACTGTGAGCAGGTGCCAGGTCGTGATGAAAAATGAAATCTTCATCTCCATAAAACTTTTCAGCAGATGGAAGCATGAAGTGCTCCAAAACCTCCTGATAGCTAGCTGCATTGACCCTGCGCTTGATAAAACACAGTGGACCAACACCAGCAGATGACATGACACCCCAGTGACTGTGGAAACTTGACACTGGACCTCAAGCAATGTGAATTCTGTGTCTCCTCTCTTCCTCCAGACTCTGGGACCTTGATTTCCAAAGGAAATGCAAAATTTACTGTAACCAGAGAACATAACTTTGGACCACTCAGCAGCAGTCCCAGGCGAGATGCTTCTGACGCAGTCTCTTGTTCAAGAGTGACTTGACCTGGGGAATGCGGCACCTGTAGCCCATTTCCTGCACACGCCTGTGCACGGTGGCTCTGGATGTTTCTACTCCAGACTCAGTCCACTGCTTCCGCAGGTCCCCCAAGGTCTGGAATCGGCCCTTCTCCACAATCCTCCTCAGGGTCCGGTCACCTCTTCTCGTTGTGCAGCGTTTTCTGCCACACTTTTCCCTTCCCACAGACTTCCCACTGAGGTGCCTTGATACAGCACTCTGGGAACAGCCTATTCATTCAGCAATTTCTTTCTGTGTCTTACCCTCTTGCTTGAGGGTGTCAATGATGGCCTTCTGGACAGCAGTCAGGTCGGCAGTCTTACCCATGATTGCGGTTTTGAGTAATGAACAAGGCTGGGAGTTTTTAAAAGTCTCAGGAATCTTTTGCAGGTGTTTTAGAGTTACGTCGTTGATTCAGATGGTTAGGTTAATAGCTTGTTTAGATAACCTTTTCATGATATGCTAATTTTTTGGGACAGGCATTTTGGGTTTTCATGAGCTGTATGCCATAATCATCAGTATTAAAACAATTAAAGACCTGAAATATTTCAGTTGGTGTGCAATGAATCTGAAATATATGAAAGTTTCATTTTTATCATTACATTATGGAAAATAATGAGCTTTATCACAATATGCTAATTTTTTGAGAAGGACCTGTAATTGTTAATTCAGATATTCACGTTTCATAAAAAAAGAGGTGGCTAAAATGGATTGTCATTTGCCAGAGGAATAATGTTGCTGAACAAAGTTGAGTCAGGTCCTTTGGACAGATTCTTTGAAAAGTTGTCTTATTCAAAAGACTTCTTCAGTCTGAGGAGCTGATTTGGATAATAAACTTCTAGCTAATGAGTCTTATAAGCAGCACCGTCTCGCAGTGCAGGGGCCTACAACCTTTTTGATCATTTCTGGCCCATAAACTCATTAAATATAAAAGCCCGGAGCCACGAAACTGCTACGACTGTTGTACAACTGGTGGTCCATGGGCCACTTTGAGGTAGTTGGAGGGGGCTTTTCTGAGTGGGAGTGACATTTTAAAACTAATAATCTAGAATCTATTTCAATATTTTTTCACATTTTGGAACAAAAATTGAAATAAATCTTAGTTTCTACCTTTAGATGAAAATACTGAACTCTGCAGACCTAGCACCTTTTATCCATCCATCCATTATCTTTACCCACTTATTCCATTTTGGGTCACGGGGGTCCAGCAGTCACTGTGCGAGGGGCGGGGTACGCCCTGGATGGGTCGCAAGTCCATCACAGGGCCACATAGAGACAAACGAGACAAACAACCATTCACTCTCTCACTCACACCTAGGGACAATTTAGAGTTACCAATTAGCCTAACATGCATGTTTTTGGTCTGTGGGAGGAAACCGGAACACCCGGAGAAACGGAGAGAACATGCAAACTCCACCCAGAAAGGCTCCTGGACCGGGGTTTGAACCAAGGACCTGCTCGCTGAGAGACAGCTTCTCTACCAGTTGCGCCACCGTGCTGCCCAGGGACTTTTATGTGAGGAGGAATTAAGTATCACACTTGGAAGTAATAAAGCAAAAAAACTGTCACTCAAACATTTGCAGGAAATTTAGAAAAAAAAACAGCCCAAACTAGACTTTTTTTGTTGTTGTTGTGGGCATAAAAACCAGAACAGTTAAATTTCCTAGTTAGTTTTGGTCAAAGCTTTATAGAGACGACCCGCAGACTGAAGAGCCACATGTGGCCACAGGCTGCAGATTCCTGTCACTGGATCAATCAGTTTGCTGCTGACAGCCAAAATAGCTGTTCACATGCAAAAGCAGGACCATTAGCCTAATAATGAATCGTTAGTGCTCTGATGATCAGTTATTCACAGGGGGCTGAGTGATACTGTACCAGCATTGTAAGAGGGGGACAGTTGAACACGGAGGCCTCTCCCCTGTTTAATGATGGACAGTTTCTCTTCACAAAGATGGCCTCCTGCCTCAAACCAACGTTCTTCTCTATCAAAGATGTTCAATTCAGTTTATTTATACAGCGTCTCACAACAGAAGTCATCTTGGCACTGCACAGAAAACATTCACATACATAAAGTAAGTTAACATTATTTATGAGGAGCAGACTGCTGTGAACATCTTCATCCCTGAATGAGTGACCACTGGCCTAGTTCAGATGAGTGTAGACCACAGAGTCCTGACCGGATCATGTTGATCTTCTGTGCTGGTCCATCCTTTTGGCCAGCGGCTGTTTAGTTTCCTTGATGTAAGACTGATCACAGCCCCCCTGACACTGAACAGCATACACAACGTTTGTGCCGGGGGACTGGATCTTTAGTGTAATCTTTGCCATAATGTATTTTGGGGTTTGAAACCCACTGGGACATGTTTAGAAAATAAACGTCTCCGTTTCTCTGAAACTCTCACAACACTCTGTGGTACAGAATCCTGATGACTGAGTCCTAACTTGTTCCAGCACTGCAGGTGATGGGAGTCAAACTGCATGTACTGGTCTGTGTGGATGGGATGGAGGTGCACATCAGTTTCCAATTATCTACAGAGGTGATGCGGTCGGTGAGATGTTGGACTTTGAGATTTAATTTTTAACCCTGTAATGGCAAACAGTGTTGTTTTTAAAGTGCTTTATAAATAAAGTTGTATTGTACGGTGAGTGATTTGATTATTTGTTACAAAAAAAAAGAGAAACTTAAATTTGTATGCCTATTTTATTACTATCAGGTCGCTCTTGTAAAAGAGTCCTCGATGCTCGGATTAACCTGTCTAAATAAAGGTTGCATGAAAAACGGCTTTCCATACTTCGTAACTGATCTTTGCAGCCGCTTGTTTCTGAGCTACTTCCGTTTGCTTGTTGACAGTTTTTACTTCGCTTCTGTCCAACTGCCAGTTCCTTTCCCCGCGCTCCGTTATGTTCCACTTCACGGCAACAACTCGGTCACAGAACGTTACGTTCTCACTTCTTCGCGCGCTTTCCCAAACTAGCTTCGGTGACGTCATCAAAGTGCGCGGTCTCCGTAGAGACGAGGGAACTGGCGGGAATCGACAATCCACACGAGAGAACTGGCTCCCACTCAGGGTACACGAGTGGAAATATCTGGAAAGGCTTTTTATTGGATCTCAGCCCACTCAGAAACACCTAGAATTAATTTAAAGGTTATAATTATTTGTCACGGGTACAATAATTTAATAGGTATCTAATAAAATAAATGTTTTTGTTGTTTTAATATCTGGTAAATACATAATCATGCATGATTTTTCAGTGTTTTTGATTTGAGTCTTTATGCTTTTAATAAAATTCCTAAGTCATTAAAGGATTGGAGATTAATTTACTTGTCAGGTTTTTGTAAATTTGTGTTAGGAAACCAAAATATTTTTCACATTTGCCCAAAACTAAATTTGGAAATCTTATGGAAATTGTCCCAGTAGACTTCTGCAAACCACAGCACTGCTCATTTCACATGATTTGAGCTCTAAATTTTGTTCCCCACCGCTCCGTTTCCTCCCAAAATATGACAACTTTTATCATCACTCAGCTTTTACGAGCCGTTTCTTTTCAGAACAAGAGAATGACTTTACATTTCGACCTGGCGTCTCTGATTGTTGTTCCCTGACTGTTTACATCCAGGGAATATTTAACAGACTCAGGATGCACCAAGTCTGATGGAAGTGTTCACATGGGAACAACTCGGAATTGTTGGCAACGAAACGTGACTGCTGACTTTATAAATGTATTTCAAATTATGAGGTAGACTTGTGGTATTGAATGATGCATATTTAGTGGTTGTTTTTATTTAATCATTGATGATACAAATATACAAAAAAATCAAATAAAACAAAAAAAAAAAAAATCTTGTTTTGACAGCTATTGTGGCTTTAAGTTGATCAGTGTAACGTTCAGTTTTCTCTGGTACCACTGGAGCTTGTAGTCTGAACCACCCTTCCTAACCATGGACAACTTCCACAAGCACAAAATTTACTCTTTGGCTCCTCCCACTTCTGTCCTCTTTATTCCAACATGAGTCACCTCTGCCAAGCTCCTCACGTTTTGCAGCTCTGACCCAGTTCCAACAACAGGAGCTCAGGCTGTGGGCTGCAATTCATGAAGGCCCGACGGGTCTGAGACCACACTTGGGTCTTTGTCTAACAGGGCACAAGAGAAACTCACGCAGCCTTGGAAACAACTCTGTTCAGCAGTTACAGGGAGAACGTCCTGTTTGTTTCTTCTGCAGCTGAGCATTAACCTCTCAGCTAAAATGCAGCTCAGAATCTATGGAATGTAACCCATTTAATCATTTCACACTTAAGTTTTTAAGTTAGGCTTCAGTTCAGAGTTTAGCCTGTGTCACGTTTGGTTTGTAGACTTTGCATAAACACTCGGTTAATAATTTATCTGCAGTAGTAATAAAGATGCTCTTCTCAGCTTTGTTATCAGAAACTTTGGTTACAAACAACTCGGTGCACTCATGGGGAAAAATGACTTTAAAACAAATGCTCTTTGAAGTTACTCATTTATACCCACCTGACTTCAGCGCAAACCATGAAAACCCCTCAACAATCGATGGTGATACACTTGTTTTAGATGCTACTGGTCAAGGCTACTCAAAGGATGGATGGTGGAGGTTGACAAACCAGTTTGAGATCATGTCATGGAATCCAATCATTATCAAATTAAATTAAAAATTTCACTTTAAAAACTAAAAGTACAAAAAAAAAAAAACCAACTAGCAGCAGACTATCTTACTATGTACACCAGCACAGAGGGCCTTGTACATTTGTAAAGGTTATAATGTTATTCCAGTTTTATGACCTTAAATAATGACTAATTTCTTTATATCCTGATGCATGCTCAATTTCTTTATGTTTCTCCTCAAGAGTCAAACGCTTTTATAAAACCTGTAGAGGTTTTCATTAAAATTTCATCTCCTGATGAGTTTTCTGCTTATTTTTATCTTTGGAAATTACAGTTTTGGTTCTAAAATACTATTATGCACCAAACTGCATTATTATTATTCGTTTTTTAAAATTAATCTAAAGAAATGGGGACAAATTGTGCCTTTGAGATAAGCAGCTGAAAACAAAAGGCCTAAAGGTTCAGTTATTTGTGGATGATCACTTGAATTTAGGAGTTTGTAGGTGTGTGTGTGTCCTTGTTTATGCTACTTTGTGAGGCCCATTTTTCC